GTGTGTGTGTGTGTGTGTGTGTGTGTGTGTGTGTGTGTGTGTGTGTGAGAGGGAGGGAGAGAGAGACAGAGCTCGTTCCCTGACTAAATCTTGACCTTCCTCCCTTCATTACCATTGACTAATTCCTGTATCAGCTCACCGATCATGCCTGTCAGCAGCACTCATGATTATATCATTTGGTAGTTAAGTTCATACCGCAGTCCTATTTAAACCTCTTCTAATAGTGTGACTCTTGCGAACTACTGCAGCTCGTCTTTGTCTGGTACCGTTATGAGATTGTTTTCAGAAGCTCACGGTCCAATTCAGCTCCGCAATTGCTTTACCTTGATTGCTTTTCAGAATACCTGAGCTTCTTGCGTAATTTCAACGGAAAATGGCTCCAAGCTTTTACTTTACAATCCATTAACTTAAGAGTAGCATTAATATACAGCAATTTCAACGTTTCAACATACTCTTTTATCTAAAGGACAATGCATTGCATCCTTAATTGCATTCCATTAGCATCAGTCGGAATGTACAGGACAGTGTATCCAATCCCTAAGGAGCGCGTTGAGAGTGTTTTGTGCTGCTCTTAGTGTTTAATGAATAGTAAAGTAAATATCTGTTAATTATCACACAGAAACTTCCTCATAAAAACATTTTCCTCGGGGGAAATATTTGGTATTCAGAAGTAGTGCTTCTCATTATTGAAATAACTAATGTGACGAGAGTTTTATTACAAAAGCAAGACCACAGAGGACAACAGTAAACAAGAACCTGATTTATCTTCATCAGTGATATAATTAAAATGTCACTTCACATCCTGGGGAAGTACCGCAACTGAATACAAACTTCCTACTTCTAAGTGCATCCTCAGCATCTAATTGTCTTTTTTCTTTCATCAATATTAATATCTGCTGGTTTATTTGAGATCAAATAGGTTAAAACAAGAAAGATTTATTTAGATAAGAAATAATACCCCACAAATCAAAGCAGTTTATTGTTGCTACGCTACGCTTAGTGTAATCTCAGACTCTAAAGGGTTAGTCAGACAATAGGAAAGCAAACACAGTATGTACCTACATGTGCATGTGCACACATTCATATACAGTATATATATATATATATAATCTGAATATATATTTGATATAGAATATAAAAATAAACCCTTTCAATTAAATTAAACAATATATATTGAAAAGTTTAATAACACAAACGAAAAAAGATTGAATAATTGAAAAATCCTAATTAAATAATAAATGTCTAATAAACCTTTTCACCAAAGTCAGAATAAACAATTCAAATTTAGTTGTTTGGTTACATAAATGTCGCACTAAAGACGGACAGCACATACTGTGTGTGTATATATATATATATATATATATATATATACAGTATGTCAACCCTGCTTTCATTCATTTTTTGGCATAAATATACCGTTTGAATAACTACAGTAAATCTTTTTTTTCTATGTACTGTACACATTTCAGATAACATTGAACAATGTGACAAACCGCACAAAAAATAATTAGCAGATCCTAAAATGACCCAAATTAGGTGCGACTTGTGACCACTGACCTGGAACTGGACTTGGAGAGAAAATAGGACGGGATGATGTGGAAGGGCAAATTACTCATGACAGGTTTGAAGAATTTAGCATATCAGCTGCTATTTCACAGCCTCTATATCTCTAATGCACATATTCACACCCTCATCTGTGTCTGCACACATAGAGAGGACTATCTTAAGCAAGTTTGGCCGGTGTTTCTGTAGCTCCTGTGTGTATCTCTGTGTCTATCTCCATGCTGATTTGATTGTATTTTAGTATAGTCTATGAACATTGGCCCACTATCTACATGGCATCTGAAGCTATCATTAAAATTAGAAGTTTGAGGTTGAGAGAGAGAAATTCTGCAGAGTGTGCTAAACATGATAGAGCATTGGATTTCATTTTGTCCTCCTCCCCCATTGGATTAATACAATGATGAAATTACTTGCATTTTATCTACAAGGTCGGATTCTTTCTTTACATCGAGGAGTCTTTTCATATTGTACAAAATATCATACCAAATGGAAATGTCTTAATAACATTAAAAATAAAAATGATGTAGGTAAATTACTGTGTCTTTACCTTTCTGCTGCATAAAATCCCACAGAGAAATATCACTATAACAATATAACAATAATAAATGTAGTGAGCAGAGTCTGCCTGCTCTAAGTGCCTCACCTTCTTCATTGTGTTTTAAGGTGCAGTGGGAGACTGTAATTTTAATTTGACATATTACTTAGTGACATTATTACCACTTTGATTATTTTAACTAATTCATCAAATTTGAGCTTGAATGTTAATGTCTTTAATGAGCATCGTTTCTTTAATGAGTCTCATCAGTGAGCTCAAAATAACCAGCTCATTAACAATACATTCAAATGTTTTTCCCTCCTTTTTTGCAACAGGAGGTGATTTTAATTGTCACTTTCATTCATCAGGAGAGTCTAATACTCAAATACCTACAGTATGAAAAATGTTCCTCTTTGGCATCCGTCCTCTCAAATCATTACACACACAGCTCCTCAGTGGCTTTCAGCGCCAGTATATGAGCGAATCATGTGCACAGGATGTATGAAATTAAATTCTCTACATTAAATCTCTTGTATGAAATTGAAGACAAAGAAAGAGAGGGATCATCTTCTTGCTCATTCATCTGTTTAGGGTTCAGTTCATTGAGAGCTCTCCACGAGGGGTCGGCTCCGGCATCCACGCACCAACCGCAGACTGAGCGTTTGCAAAGCCCATTGTAGGAGCAGCTCAAATAATAGCACAACAAATACTATAAATGCACCCTGGTTGCATCATGCCACTAAGACCTCAAGAAGCTTAAAGGTTAAGTGGATAACAAACAGTCCCTTTGCAGAATGCGGATCAGTAGTCCTCCGTTAAACAGGCTGGAGCCAGCCTCTGTCTGATTATCTAAATTGTATTAAGTTGTGGCTAAGTTCTCTTGCCAAATGCAATTTGGGATTGCTCACAAACATTACAATCAGGAAAATGTCTTTTTTTTAAAGAAGACTTTTGCGAGGCAGGGACATTTTCACAGCATTTAGTCTCTGAGAAGACGACCTCCTTTTCTGCCTTCCTCCTCATCCTGCCAGAACAATGGTGATCTTCAGCGTGACCTCTCCATTTGGATATCTTTTTGACATATTCCCAACCATTTTATTTCTGCGTGATTCCTACTTATTCCAACTCTTAAAGTGCATTTGCCTGACATTGTCAAATGATGATGGGCTGAAATGGCAGAGTGGCAAGGGCACAGGAGATTAGGAGGCCAAGGACTCACTAAAAGCATGAATGTACGGCGGCTCACGCTGAGAGCACTGATGTAATATTGGTGGTGCGGTGCCAACTTTCATCAGTCGAGGTGAAGGATGGGTGCACTGACCATGAGCCTGTGAACCAGTGAAGCCGTCATAGAGAAAGAGGCTGGGTTCAAATAGATGTGACACAATTAGGCCATGTCAGATTTCCTTGTGATGTGGCTGGGTGCACATTCAGAGCCGAAGAGCTTCAATGTCAATTTCAATCTCTTGAAGCAGGTAGAATGTGTGTGTTTAAAAAAAAAAAAAAAAAAGATTTTCTAAAATGTTAACAAGGTGGTTGATTGGCCAGCTTGTTACCCTAGTACTGTGCAAGACGAGTGAATTGGAGCTGAAATTCAGAGTTGACAATTTAATTTTCAGGTTCGTTTCATTGACTGTCAATTAAATTATCTCCTGATTCTTTTTGAAGTAAAGGTTTTTTAATGAAGGTGGTGGGTGTGACCGAGGTAGTGTTGCTCTGTTGAGCTGTCAGCGACCAAGTCGACTGCAGATGCTTGTTTGTATTTAGTAAGAGTATTAGATGCACTTAATCCGCTGCTGCTGTAAATGGTCAGCTGGCCCCACAACCTGACCCACTTCACTGGGATCGGCACAAATCTTTATCAAGAACATTCAGTCATGCTTTGTCTGACCTCCTCATGACACCAACCAACACAGAGCAAGCAGTAGCAACACTTCTCTTCTTTTCCCCAGCATTCTATTGTCAGTGAAAATAACTATAATACTCTATATTGTTCACATTTTCCATAGAGAAATGTTTTCTCTCAGTCTCTCTCGTAGAAACGCAGAGTGAACAGTTAATTCTATCGCTCTTATCAAATCAAGTGAGTCTTAATACCTCTCAGTTTCAATGGTGTATTGTAAAGTAAAATATATCATTTATAAATGGTTATTTTATAATGTGAAGTCTAATGTAATTAGAGTTTGCTTGTAGATTTTAAAAAACGCTAATGTTTGCTACATGTGTAGCTTTAACCTTGGAAATGTCAGGCCTTTGTGATTGATCCTCAAGGAAACAAAGGATGCTTTCCTGTGTCTAACCATTGGTCTGGTTTTCAAAGCTGATTGATTGGACTCTGTTTGCAGCCAGAAAAAGAAATCGCAGCGCTAGTGCCGGACACAGCACAGGCTCGCATCAATCACTGGGCGAGCGTTGGCTTGTACAGCGGAGCAGCAGCTGACATTCGCATAACAAAGCTGCAAGTGTTTCCTCCAGACATGCATCACACAACCTGCACACTGAGTGAAGAGAGCATCTGTTGACAGCCTTTACGAGATCTCCTAAGATGACACATAATGGCCCCCTCCCTGGCATTTCTGAAATAAATGCCAGGGTGGGGGCCAGGGAGGGGTTTTGTCTCCTCTCATCCCTGCCACTTCCATCATGACTATACATTTCTTTACATTACTGAAAATGCAAATCTCAACCCACTGAGGACATGATAGTAGCAAATCCAATTAGGCATGGTGTTTCCCTACTGCCAAGGTTAGTTTGCATTCTCTCAACAGAATAGTTTTTGATATAAAATGCTGATTAGATTGTGTGAGTGTGGTAATGTTACTTCGGCATCCGATCCGGACTCAAAACATCGTTGCAGTCCATTGAGTTTTCTGCTTTTTTTCAACACACAGGGTGTAAAAATATGCAGTGTTTGCCCCACCTTGTAGAATTCTTGGTTTAAATAAATTATCAGTCTTTGTTGAAATATTACTTCGTAGCCTTTTATATCTAAAAAAATAACAAATTTCCGATTCAAATGTATCTGTCATACAGAACACACTCTCACAGTATCACTTTCTCTCCGCCTGCCTGCTTTCCTCCTTGCTTTTTTCCGCTTCATGCGCTCTCCATCCATTAGGGAAGCTGTCAGCACGCATTGGTCTGACTATAGATCATCACGTCAAAACAGCCCTGAAATGTGTCCCCCCCCCCCCTCTCCCTCAGAGAGCAGGGCCTCTGTGAAAGCTATTATATGTTGCTCTGGTCAACTGATCAGCCACCACTCTCATTATTACTGATACAGGTCCTGGCTTTGAAATGGCATGACTTCGCTAGGATTAACTCGTTTGTAATTCATATCCAGAGGCCTTCTAATTCCAGCGACAGAACAATAATAAGCTTGCTAGTGGTGTTTGTTTATTTATTTATTTATTTTCTGGACTGAGATCGTTTCTAGTCATACATTTTCTTTGTTGGGGCTCTAGTCTTAAATTGTTGAGCAGATGATGTAGTATACAATCCAAGGCCGCACCCGTTTACTTGACATTGTCAAATTTTGTGCTCATGGCTTCTCATTTGTCAAATTGACTAAAGAGGGCATGATAGTCTCACCCTTGAGACTTCTTCTTGTTGCTTATCGCTTAAAATGAAATAAGAGACCTGTCAAAGCACAGTTTGCCTGTCATCGCTAAGATATGACTGTAAAAAGACTAGAATAGAAATTTTATCAAGAGACAGGGAGCTTAAAAATTGGCTCACAGAAGCAAATTTGTTTTTCTTCCTCCGGTTCTTCTGTCAACATGCTTTTACAAGCTTCAAACTGACCACAAGTTATCTCAGAGACCACCAAACGTTCTTCTCACAACAGTATTTTATAATGTTCAACATGTCCTGCGCTTTGGCCAGGTTTTCATTAAAATCCAACGTTGGACTGCTAAAGTTTTCCCATCCAATATCAAACCACAAAGTTTTGACAGCACTCGTACAACTCAATGTTTAAAAGATGAGACAGCTATTGGCAGGCCCTTGAGTTATGAAACCAATAACCCTGCATCAAGGCCTCGTCATTTACATTTGGCCCCACTCTGCAGGTTGGTCCAAGAAAGATTTGAGATGGCAGTAATATGACACCATGTTGTGGGCACTGCCAATGAAGTAATATATTGCTCTGTCATATACATTTGGTTGTAAGAGCTTTAATTCAAAGCTGTGCTTGTCACCATTGGTCCCAAAGAGATAACGTTATGTGAATAAATTAAAAAAAACGCACACTCACTGAACAAAAAGTGCTCCACTGAGTTATTAATCATTACCAGCAGAACTTTGAGGATGTTTTTTTATTGAAATTCACTCACAGCTGCAAAGCTTACCAGTGTTCGCTACACCCAAATATTTAAGAGAAAACAATGGTAATGATGAATGGGGTGCTGCACACACAGTGAGAATACATGTGTTTAGTGGCCAAGAATATGAATTCCCTCGCAAATGAATGTTTTGCACATAATAGCCTTTTCTGCACTGAGCTGTATGACTCTTGTGCAGGGTACAGCATACGCACCCTTTGATTTTCAGGAGGAATGCTGAACCGTTGTTATCAGTTTGTTGTGGAACAACATGTGGAAACTTTTACAAAGTAGGCCATGTACTCCGAGTGATTGGAGGCATTGAGTACACGCTGCAGCACAGCAAAGTGAGCAACAAAACCACGAGCAAACACACATTGATTAATACGAACTATGCAAGAACCGATCCATTCACACATGACTGAAAGCAATCCGTAAAGTCTACCCCTATTTAGTTTGTGTTCTTTGCACAATGTTGCTACTTTATGAACTGTATCGTTAAATGGCAGAAGATAATGAAAAGTTACTATCTCCCTGTGGTGATTATGAAATCATGTGTCGTAAAGGAGTTGTGCTGAACATGTACTTGTTAATCAGCTATTCATACTCAGTTAGCAACCAATAAACACTGTTTCAGCATATCTCTTAAAAATACAGAGAGAATGAGAATGAGATGCATTTTACTCTAACCAATCTTAGACAGATTTATTTTTGAACATTAGTTTATTTAGACTCGTGCAACATTAGCTACTCAAAGAAATCAAAGATTGGTGTGATAGCTCTATGCAGTGTTCCAGTATCAGCCACTATTCTGCACCCTCTGTTAAGAATAAATAGAAGAAGAATAAATAGCAGCACCAATGGCAGGAGGTCAGTTATTAATTATCCAGCTTGCCTGTGCCTCATACCCAGTGGAGCAGAAAAGGTCTATGCAGTCACTCAAGCAAATACGGTTTTGCTCTGAGGAATAGTCCACTATTGACAATTGATCACATAAATTGGGGTATGCAGAGATCAAAACTAAGCTATTTGGCTGTGTCTGTTTTACATTTCAATTGTGCTTAAAAACGCAATTTATTCATTTCCAAGGAAACAATTATTTCAAATGTAACAAATAACCCATTAAAAGGCTATTTTATGTTTTGGTATTGTTGGTATCGTTTTCATGTTACTGCACTCAGTATCTGGTTAAGCAATTCCCTCCTCTGCACTCTCATGTGTGTGCGTGTATTTGCATGTATGATTGTCTATGCATTTAGGTGATAGATAGCTTGCAGCTAGTCTGTGCTCTCCACTTACCTCTGTAAGTATTCATATTCAATGTTCAATTGAATATTCAATGTTGTGTAGCCTGTGTTTTGGGCTGCTCTCCAAACCACAGAGACCAGCAACAGTCACCAAAAGCCAGCCTCCCCCCGCTCTCCTGTCATCCTCAGCTTGCCTGTCAATCTGTTTTACTCGTACACTGTCTCACAAGGTCCAATTCAGGGTCATTCATTCATTAATTTAAATGCACCGGCAAAGTCCACTTTTTATTTGTATAGTTTGCTTTAAACCACTGGCTGGGTAAGGTTGTTGGCATGGCAATATTCATTTTATTCATGCACATACTTAAAAAAGCATGCTACACCAGAGTGAATCAGTAGGACATTGTGTACTTGTATACACAAGTAAAAGTTGGAGCTCATTATCAGTGTCTCACGGCCTGAACACACTGTTTTAATATTGGCACAAAACAGACTTTTTAAACAGTGTTTTCCTCTTGTGCAGGCCCTTGCCATCCAAACCCTTGCCACAACAGAGGGACATGTGAGATCAGTGAGACCTACAGGGGAGACACCTTCATTGGTTACGTCTGCAAGTGTCCACTGGGCTTCAGTGGAGTTCACTGCCAACACAGTAAGTTGAACCCCTTTTCTCCCCTTGCCCTCTCTAAAAATCCTCGAAAACCTTCTCACAGATAGGGGTACACCAATACAAATAGTTTTCAAGTACTTACAGTTAACTACTTGCCAGTATGGACCCTATACTGGTATCGTTATCTATGCATCCCTACTCACATAATAGAAACATTGAATCAAAGAGCTTGTACAGTTTTTTGTCTCCTTTTACACATTCCATGAAGTAAAGTTTGTCCATTTGAGCTGACAGACTTTTCCAACACAAATAATGACCTTGAGCAGTGACTAAATGTCAGGCAGCTGACAGGAAGTAAATCGCTGTTAAAAGAACGAGTTCAGCAAAATGATCGTAGGTTTGGTGGAGAAAAGAAATGCTGATCTGGCTTTCTTTTGTTGAGCATGCTCTTAATAAAGGTTAGTGTCAGAAGGTTTTTGCTGCCTATGAGATAATACTTTACATTAGACCAGGGGCATTGTTCTCAAGTCCCGTACAATGTATGCTCTATCTTTAAACAGACTTCCTGAACTCTTTAGCCTCTAACGACCTCAAAGTGGGCACAAGGGTAATCTCTACCGTAAATGTTGAGGTGCAAGCGGATGTGGGTGTGAACAACACCAGAACTTCTATCGATTCTATTGGTGCAAAGCTTCTCTAGGCGTTTCCTGAAACCTGAAAGCTTTTTGATTTGATAACTGTCCACTTACCAAAAAAGTCTGACAGGAAGTGAAACCTAGTGAATGTATCAATTAATTTGTTAGTTTTATATACAACAAGTGGAACCAACATCAGCAAGTTCAGCATTAAAACATCTACATTAATATCTGGCTTTAAAAAACCCTCTCCATTTTGAATAGATCCCAGAATTTGGAAACAGCATATATATAGCTCATCGTCTGTAAGTGCTAAATCTTGCTTAGTTCTGCAGGATGATGTATCGGCCAAGTCATGTGGCTGCCATGCCTCGGTGTGTGCTCCACTGAGCATTGAGAGAGAGAGAGAGAGAGAGAGAGAGAGAGAGAGAGAGCGAGAGAG